AAATACATGGGGGCAGACATTTGCAGTGGCTAAACATGAGGTTTGACCACGATTGGTTGGTTATTTTTAGTTTGTGACACATTTTTTTTTTTTTTCACGTACTAGGCAAAGTACCAAAAATTAGGTACAGTGGTATAGCGGAAGATTCAGAAATTACCGAAAAATTGGTACAGCAGTCTGGTAGGGTTAAGCCAGTATCAGGCAGTTTTGAGAACAGTGACTTTGTACAATAATATAGCTTGATAACTGGTATTGTGATCCCTCATGCTTTGTTCTTCTTTCTCGGGATTGCTACAGCTATTTGGATTTTTTTTAATTCCTTATGAATTTTTGCAGAGTTTGTTCTAGGTCTGTGAAATATGCTCACCTTAGGATATTTTCCTATTGTGTTTATTGATTTATTTATTTTTAAGAGAGAGTGGAAGAAAGGGTGAATGACAAAGAGAAACATAGATGTGTCTCACATCAATTGGTAGCCTCTTGCATGTTCAAGGCTGGGGATCGAGCATACAACCAAGGTACATGCCCTTGACTGGAATTGAACCCAAGATCTTTCCATCCACAGGGTGATGCTACATTCACTAAACCAAACTGATCTGGGTTCCATTGTCTTTATAACTTGATGGATAGTATGCTGTGAATCCTGTCTCTACATTTTTAATATTTTGCTTTAGGCAAGTTCATTCTCCTACTTAGACCTTAGTTTCCAGTAATGTAAGGATTACAGAGAGTATATAACTCTAGGGGTCCGGTGCATGAAATTCGTGCACTGTGGGGGGTAGAGGGGTCCCTCAGCCCAGCCTTCCCTCTCTCACATACTGGGAACCCTGAGGGAATGTCCTAAGCTGCAGTCTGGCCTCCCTTTGTGGGAGGCAACCAGGCTGATCAGGGGAAGGCACCATCCCCAAGGTGTTTTCATCAACACAGACTCCAGTTCCCTCACCATGAAAAAATGACAGCTTTCTTTAGACATTATCAAGATGCGTCTTTTATAGGAATTGACATTTCTTTCTTCATTTTTTTATCCTCACCTGAGGATATGTTTCCATTGATTTTTACAGAATGTGAAACAGAGAGGGAAAGACAGAAAAACATCAAAGTGAGAGAAACACGTTGATTGGTTGCCTCCTGCTTGAGCCCTGACCTGGGCCCCAGCCAGGGAGGAGCCTGCAACCGAGGTACATGCCCTTGGTCAGAATCGAACCTGGACCCTGTGCTCTGCAGGCCTAGGCATTATCTACTGAGTCAAACCGGCTAGGGCAGGATATGACATTTCTTAGCCCTCCAGCAGCAGACATTCATTTTTTTTCTCCAGGAGTGTGGTGGAAAAATCCTAGATTACCTTTTTGTATTCTTATTACCCAAGTTACTAAGAATATTACCAGTGGCGTACAGGGAGCTTAGCCAATGAGTGGTCAGAAAAGGTGTTTCCTCAGTAGTTCACACTGATCGCTGATTGCTCCCCATTCCCGGCTCCGCCACTGACAAGGCCCAAAGCCTCTGACTGAGGCTTGGGGCTTGGGTAGGGGCCCCCCAGCTCCCTCCCATCGCCAGCTCTGCCCCTGGCTCAGGCCCTTCCCAGGATACTCAGGACCCATGCAGAGCCTACCTTGGAGTGACCTGAGGACTGAAAAAGTTCCTGGGACCCAGGCTGCTGGGTGCCTACATATGCAAATCAACTGCCATCTTTGTTGGGTTAATTTGCATACTCTGATTGGCTGTGGGCGTAGCGGAGGTACGGTCTTTTTACATGGTTGTCTGTTATTAGGTATGATGATGAGCTTTTATGTATCAGGTAACTCAATGACTGAGATAGCCTGCTACAACTTCGCTTTTGTCATCTTTTTGCACTGTTTACACTCAATGATTAGAATGTTAAGCCTTCAATTCCTTCATCTTTCTTTGAGTATCCTATATAATAATCCTATATAATAAAGAGGTAGTATGCAAATTGACTATCACTCCAATATACAAGATGGCTGCCCCCATGTGGTCAAAGATGGCCACCATAAGATTGTTGGCAGGGAGAAGCAGTTGTGGGCATTCAGGCCAACAGGGGAAGGCAGTTAGGAGGACCAGGCCTGAAAGGGACAGATGGCTGGAAATGCAGGCATCCTCTTAAATTGCACACACCCAAAATTTCATGTGCAGTCACTCTCCTTGGGCTCTGGCATAGAGATGGTGGAGTGGACTGGAGATGTGTGGGCAGAAGCTAGGGTTGGGACTCAAAGGGCAGACACCCCTGTTTCCAATGCTGGGTCATTCCCTCAAGCTGTGGAGGACATCTTTCTCAGGCAGACCTTTCCTACCTAGGCAATTTTTGCCTGGAGGTAATACAGTTGCCCCACCCTATGGAGTTTCTGAGTTCCATTAAGAGACTGATAATGGCCTCCAGGCAGAAGCATTTTCCCCACATTGTTTTCTTTTTTAAATATATTTTATTGATTTTTTACAGAGAGGAAGGGAGGGAGATAGAGAGTTAGAAACATCGATGAGAGAGAGTCATCAATCAGCTGCCTCTTGCACAACCCCTACTGGGGATATGCCCGCAACCAAGGTACATGCCCTTGACCGGAATTGAACCTGGGACCTTTCAGTCCCCAAGACGACGCTCTATCCATTGAGCCAAATCGGTTTCGGCTTTCCCCACATTGTTGATAAACCTCTCATTCCACCTGCAGATGAGGCTACTCAAGATTGAATCCAATCAGATTGCAGGCAGAGGCTGATATCTGGAGTCTTTGAGTCTTTGCCTGATCTAATTAGTTAGAAATAGTGTTTGCCACTGTCCTGCACTAGAAATTGGGAGGCATAGCAGATCTACCCAGTACATAGTCACAAACCCAAACAGGCAGCCAAATATGGAGACAAAAAAAAAAAAAAAAAAAAAAAAGCCCGAAATGAAAGAAAAAGATAATTATCCAGAAGAAGAGCTAAATGAAATAGAGATAAGAAATAAGATATAGAGTTTAAAATAATGATGGCAAATATGCTCAACAGCTTGAGAAAAGATATAGTAACTGAAGAATGATATAATACTATTAAAGAACACAGTGTAAGGAATACACAGCAGATTAGGGAAATCCGAGGATTGGGCTAGTAAAGTGGATGATAGGATAGAAAAAGAAAACTCAGAGAACCAAACACAAACAAAAGACAACAGCTAGAAAATAGGACAGCTTAAGGAAGCTGTGGGACCATATGAAATGTAACAATATTTGCATAATAGGTGTGCTTCAAGGAGAAGAAAGTGAGCAAGGGATAGAGAACGTGTTTGAAGAAATAATGACAGAAAACTTCCGTAACCTGATGAAGGATAGAGTCACACAAATTCAAGGGGGCCATAGAGAACCCGAAGAAAGAGGAACCCAAATAGGCCCATATCCAGACATAATTAGAATGGCAAAAATGAAAGAATCTTAAAGGCAGCAAGAGCAAAGCAAATTGTTACCTATAATGGTACTCCCAGAAGGCTTTCAGCTGGTTTCTCATCAGGAATTCTGCAGGCCAAAAGAGAAAGAACTGAAGTTTCCAAGATAATGAAAACCAAAATCATTATACCTAGCAAGGCTAGATTCAAAATAGATGGTGAAAAAAAAGATCTTCCCAGACAACAACAACAAAAAAGGCTAAATGAGTTTATCACAATAAAACCAGCACTGTAAGAAATGCTAAAGGAACTGCTATAATGAGAAGAAGAAATACAGAGAGCTAGCAACTTAGGCAAATAGAATTAAAATGGTAATAAATTAGTACATATCAATAACTTTACATGTTAATGTTCCAAGCAAGAAACAGGATAACTATAACTGGATGGATAAGAAAACATTACCCATATATATGCTGTCTACAAGAGATCCACCTCAGAACAAAAGACTCAGGATGAGAGTATCAGTTTCCCTAATCCTCCTGCCTTGGAATCCTGTAACAGAGGGACCTGGAGAGTATTATCTTAAGTGAGATGTTATAGCTTATTATGTTAAATAAAATAATCAGAGAAAGCCAATTATCACACAATTTCACTCATGTGGAATCTCAGGAACAAAATTGATCCAGAGACATAGAAGCATAGAATAGACTGAAATCTTAGGAGAAGGTCCGGAGAGTGGATGGATGGGATGTATGTGTAACCCATGGACACAGTCAATAGGTTGGTGAAGGCCTGGGTGAGGGGGAAAAGAGGGAGGGTATAGTAGGAGTCAGTGGGGAGGGGCGGGGGGGGGGGGGCGAAGGGACATATGTAATACAAAAATAAAGATGTATAAAATGGGGAAATGCTTGGTAAAATGGGATTACTAAAAATATAAAAATCCTTGTTTATTTATTATCATAAAGTTGATGAATTTTAATTGGTTTTATTTTGTATATGAAATTATAGACCATTTAGGGGTGATTTCCTAGATGTAAGTCATTTTAGTTGTCTTAAAACATAATTGTTTTTTAATTATTTAAACATTGAGTGTTTTAAAACATGAACTTAAAGTTCTTATTAAAATAAAATCAGTGTATTTATTAATGCTCTTCAAATTTATTATATTAAACTCTTGAGAAACAAAAATACTTCAGGGCAACATCCATGATTTTCTCATCAAAAGAGCTTCAAAATTTATCTGCTCTTGTGCAACTTTTTAAAATTGATTTATTATCTGTTCACTTATCAGAGATTTCAATGTATTATGATTGTAGGAGACTTCTGCCAGTATATTTATGTCCCTCAAAATTATTTTAAAATATTACCATGTATTGTGTTAATTTGGCTTACTATTTTTTACTCCTTTTGGTTATCATATCTTTGTAATTCTGTTCTTTGACTTCTGGTAAGTGTAGAAAAGGATTTTAACAATGAGGAAAATGGCTAGTACTTTTTTCACTTTTATTGTGGATATTTATGACTTATATTACAATGATTACTAATAAACTTTTAGAAATCTTTTAAAAGACATACATGACTTTTTAAACCTTGTATTTCAAATTTTTGGTATCTTTCTTTTTTTATTAAGGCTGCAAGGTGTGACTGTTGTAAATCCCAAGGAACTCTTAACGAGCGTGTGCAGTGGCGTGGGGAAATGAAGCATTTCTGTGACCAGCATTGCTTACTGCGTTTCTACTGCCAGCAGAATGAGCCTAACATGACGACTCAGAAAGGACCTGAAAACTTGCATTACGGTATGTCATAACTTAGAGTCCTGTGCAACTTGAAAAATCTGTACAGTAATCTTTAGTTTTACAGATCTCAATTCAAAGTACATAATTATAAACGATTAGTTGATTTTGGAGATATTTTGATAGAAACTTCCATAGTTTCCTTGTGTGGAAGTATCCTATATGATGTGTTTCTTTCTTTCTTTTTTTAAAATATATTTTATTTTTTTTTACAGAGAAGAAGGGAGAGGGAAAGAGAGTTAGAAACATTGATGAGAGAAACATCAGTCAGGTGCCTCTTGCTCACTCCCTACTGGGGATGTTCCTGCAACCAAGGGACATGTCCTTGACCGGAATCGAACCTGGGACCCTTGAGTCCGCAGGCCAGTGCTCTATCCACTGAGCCAAACCAGTTAGTGCTGATGTGTTTCTTTTTATTTAATTCTCTTTAAAATCTTTAATGTTTGTTGAAGAAATATAGTCTAGTTGAAATTGCAGAGAAGCTAAACAGAATTATAACAAAAAATTCTATAAGATTCATCCACCTATTATGTGTCAAATTTTAAATGAAACCCATTTTTAGAAAATTGTATGGGAGGAGCAACAAAAGCCCTTTAGGAGCTGTGCATTACTTAAGAGTTAAATCTCGAAGGGACTGTTACCTCCAAAGTTGTGTGTGGTTTTCTGCAGGGACAAAATGGGAAAAGAGTTAACTCCACTTATTTAGCTCTGTATTTCAGCTCTCAAATATATTCATTACTGAAAATAGCTTAAAATATTTATTTAGTAATTATTTTAAAACATTAAAATTTAATGACAAAAATAGATGTAGGAAATTCTGAAGAAAGTGATATTTGTCTCATTTAAAATTTGTTTATATTTTATTTTTCAGATCAGGGTTGTCAGATGTCCCGATCCAAAATGATGGTAAGTATTGTTTAAGTAAAATGATAACTATTGATAATTTATTTTTATTTTTATATATTTTATTGATTTTTTACAGAGAGTAAGAGAGAGGGATAGAGAGCTAGAAACATTGAGCAGCTGCCTCTTGCACCCCCCCTACTGGGGATGTGCCCACAACCAGTGTACATGCCCTTGAGTCTAACCTGGGACCTTTCAGTCCTCAGGCCAACACTCAATCCACTGAGCCAAACTGGTTTTGGCATATTGATAATTTTAATGTGGGGATATAAAAAAATAATCAGTTCAATTTAATCTTATTGTAATAATAAAAGATTCTTTACTTTCCTCAGTTGGGACAGTTGAAGTATTCAAATGGATTACCTGATACTAAAACAGGTACTTTCATACATGCTAAGGCATATAAAGGTTAATAATTATGATCCCTCCCCATCTTGTGAAGCACTCATAATAGATGCATCTTGAAGACAGTAGCAAAAATGGTTGAAATGATTGCCTGTGTCTGTTCCTGGTGGCTGTAAGAAAGCTTCTAAACAGTTGAGAAGATAGACTGGATGAAAAGGAATGATAATATGCAAAGGGCATGCATATTTGGCAAAACAGATTTTGTAGGTAAAAACTTAAGGGGAACCTGTGGTGGAATCCTGGGAAATAATGGTGAAAGGAAGGGCTGGGACAGCTCATTAATGGCTTTGTGCATCTGTTTCTGAAATAGGAAGATCTATGTGAAGATCTATGTTGGAGCTAGGCCTTGTGAGTTTTTATTGATTTTGAGAGAGAAAAGATGTGAGAAATATCTATCAGTTGCCTCCCATACCCACTCTGACTGGGAATTGAACCCAAAATCTAGGTATGTGCCCTGACCAGAATCAAACCCACAATCTTTTGGTTTATGGGACGACCTTCCAACCAACTGAGCCCCTTGGCCAGGACTGAATTAGCTGATTTTAATATCAGGAACTTTGATTTATGCTGAGGAACATAAAGGTGATCATTCCCTGTTTTGTTATCTTTATGTAGCTATGAGGCTACTTCCCAACCTTATTTTAAACTCGAGGGCTGGCACATGAAAATTTATGCACTGGAGGTGAGGGTCCCTCAGCCCAGCCTGCCCTCTCTCACAGTCTGGGAGCCCTCAGGGGCAGGAGGCATCCTGATGATCAGGGAAGGCAAGGCCCCATCTGCTGCTGTTGACACTGTCGGCCTGGTTACCTGACCCTCCAGCGGTCCTGGGTGCCTTGGCAGCTGCCATCCAAGGCGTGCCTGCAACTCAGGCTCACCCTAGGGGGCTGGGCAGCCGCCATCTGAGAATTGCCTGTGCCTCGGGCCAGTCCTGGGTGGCTGGGGGCTGAAGGAACTGGAGGACTCTGAAGGCAGGTGCATGGCACAGTTGGACCCACCTGGGCACAGGCTCAGCCATGCTGCACTCCTGCTGCCTTTGGTGGGGCTGAGGTGACTGGGTACTGCCATCTTTGAGGGCATGGCAGTCAATTAGCATATTCCCTCTTTATTAGATAGGCTATGTAAGTGGGGTTTTTGTGTGTGTGTGTGTGTGTGTTTTTAATATATATATATTTTTTAAATATTTTTATTGATTTTTTTACAGAGAGGAAGAGAGAGGGATAGAGAGTTAGAAACATCGATGAGAGAGAATCATTGATCAGCTGCCTCTTGCACACCCCTTACTGGGGATGTGCCTGCAACCAAGGTTCATGCCCTTGTCCGGAATTAAACCTGGGACCTTTCAGTCCGCAGGCCGACGCTCTATCCACTGAGCCAAACCGGTTTCGGCTTAAAAATATTTTTAAAAAATATTTGAGAGAGATAGGGAGAGGGAGAGCAAGATGGAAACATCAATAATGAGAGAGAATCATCGATTGGCTTTCTGCTACACACCCCCTACTAGGGATTAGCCTCTAACCAGGGCACGTGTCCTTAACTGGAACCTGGCAGCTTTCAGTTTGCAGGCTCATGCTCTATACACTAAGCCAAACCAGCTAGGGCCCCATGGCACTTTCCAGGTCACTTGCAGACATGTGCAGAGTGATGAATAATGTGACTTGTGTTAATGCATCCTTCGCCAGGTTGAACAAGGCGAGGCTCTACCTTCTTGTCTTTCTCATTCTATAGTATACCAGTGTCCTTTTCAGTCTATGATTAGTGCATGTTTTTCATATTTTTGTGCTTTTTGTTGGTGATTTGGCTGTTCAAAAGTTCCTCTGATCATAGCACTGAAGTGCTGACTATTGGGCCTAGGTACCAAAATGCTGTGATGTGCCTTTTAGAGGAGATTCCTATGTTGCTATTTAAGCTTCAGTCAGTTAGCTGTGAGTTGAGGGTTCCTGAGTCAACAATATGATACACCCAGAAAGAAGATGTGGAGTAAGTTTTGACAGAGAAAGCAGTAGAGCCTACTAATGAAGACCTGGACAAGATGGCAAAACAAGGCATCAGATTAAATGATGAAAGTCAGCTTAAGACTCCCAACAGCAGCCAAAATATTAGAATGGAATTTTGCCTTGGGAAAAGTTGCTAATGACACAGAAGCATTTGACCCTATGCCTGAGCAAAGCCTTCAATTGAAGCACCACTGTATTTTCACCTTACATTAAGACACTGAAAAGATGTGAGGTCCAGACAAGATTTAGTTAAAATGTGAAGCTGTTTTTGGAGAGAAAATGGCTGACATGGCAAGTTGCCAGAGCCCAGCTTCTGAGGTAGATGTCACCCTGCCACCTTCATTGATGTCTTCCTTGTCTGCAGAATAAACTCCATCACTTCTCTTTTGTTGTCTGTGGGGCGTACCAAGGTCAAGAGCTCTCACCCCACAGTGCATTGCCTGGTATACATCCTGCAGCTCTGCCAACAATAAGGTGCTAATCTTTATATATATAAAGAGCCAGGGTCTGTAATGACCAAGGCTTGACCGAACACCAGAAGTCAGTGCTGGGTTGCTGTGGTGACCCAGCACTGACTACAGCCAGTGTCAGCGCAGTGATCCAGCAATGACTACCATGGGGGCTGCTGATCAGGTCCAGAGAGAGGCCTGCTGAGAGAGAGGCAGGGTCTGGTCCCCAGCCTCCATGGCAGCTGTTAATCAGCTGTTGCCTCTCTCTCTCCCGGCTCTAAGACAGATTTTATATACAGAGCACTAAGTTAGGTATGCAATTTTACCTATATGTTCCCAAAAATTCTAGTTTAGCACTTCTTAGTTGGGATTCAGGAATCTGTGTTTTAACAACTCCACCAGGTGATTCTCATCATGAGAGAAGGTTGGGAAACACTGGTATAGTGCATATGGCTGGTGTCAGTCCAGATATAGGGATTATTTGTTTTTGTCTGCCAAGAGCATCTCCTTCTGCTGAAAAAGGCTCCCTCACCCCACCATTTAAGCAGTCCTATCTTATATAATCTATACTACTAAAAGGGTAATATGCTAATTAGACTTGGTCGACTGGCCATCTTCCAGACACCTGACTTCTTTCCAGACAAAGCCACCATGGTGGGGTCTGAGGCAGAGACAGTTACAGGTGGCAGGGTCTGGCAGTTAGGGGTGATCAGGCAGGCAGGCAGGCCGGTGAGCAGTTGAAGCAAGCAGTCCCAGATTGCAAGAGGGATGTCTGACTGCTGGTTTAGGCCTGATCCCACAGGGTCTAAACCGGCAGTTGGACATCTCACAAGGGGTCCCTGATTGGAGAGGGTGCAGGCTAGGCTGAGGTTCTCCCCCACCCCCCATGCATAAATTCCGTGCACTGGATCCCTAGTGTTCTTATAAAAAGTTAAAAGCTGAATCTGATTTACATCAAACCTGATTTACATCACTGTGTACATATGTACTCACATTAATGAGTACAAGTACTACTGTCCAGTATGTGTGTACTATATGTATACATGTTTGTTGAGAGTTGATGACCACTGTAGCAATTAAACAGCAATTAGGGGCCCAATGCATGAATTTGTGCACCGTGAAAGAAACTGGGCTGCGAGGCTACTGTGGGCACAGGGGTAGGTCTCAGCCCATCCTCTGCACCTCCACCTGGCCCCTGGTCTCCTATCTGCTGGCAACCCTACTCATACCACCATCGCTTCCACATGCTGATTGCGCCGGCCACCCTTGCACCTGCTGACGGAAGAGCTATTGGGGCCAGTGCCAGCAGTCAGTGCAAGTGGGTCTGGCACTGTCAGCAGGTGCGGCAGTGTCTGCTGCCCTGATCACCCTTCAGTAGCAGGTCGAGGTGGCGACACCCTCAGGCGGTTGGGGTTGGCAGCTGCTGCTCGCACCCGCTTATTGTGCTGAGTGATTGGGACCAGCACCAGGTGCTAGCAGCGGGTGTGAGCAGTGCCTCCTGTGCAGGTTTGAGTGGGGCTGGTGTTGGCAGTGGGTGGGAGAGGCAGCTGTTGGCCCTGATTGCCACTCAGTAGCAGGGGGAGGTGGAGAAGCCCTGAGAGGCCACTGGAGTTGGCAGTTGCCACTCAAACCTGCTGATGGCGCTGAGCAATTGGGGCTGGAGCTGGGTGCCGGCAGCGGGTGTGAGCGGGACCAGTGCCGGCAGCAGGTGCCAGCGCCGTGTGAGACTGCTGTGTGTGGGAGCAAAGAATTTTTAGTAACAACCAGAGGCCCACCCCGATGACAGCGACAGGCACCTCACCTTGGTCTGGCGCCCTCCGCTCACCTTTACCATACTGCCAGGCCAGTGCCTGCCACATTCCACGCTCTGCTGCCTGCTGCTGACGCCCACCATGGTCCACATGTGCCCCTTGGTGGTCAGCGTACATCATAGCGACTGGTTGTTTCGTTGTTCTGCAGTCTGGTCTATTTGCATATTAGGGTTTTATTTATATATAGATGCTATAATCATACTGATGAAAAGAAATGCTGCATATCACTATGTATAAGAAATATGTATTAAAGTGTTTCAACAGAAACAAGATTATGTGTTGATCTCTTAAAAATATGACCACAGATTGGCAGGAACCTAAACCTCTATTTCCTTTTAGAGCAAAGTTTTAGTGTTCATCGTGACTGTGTAAAACAGAACTACAAGTGAACCGAGTGTGTTAATATTCTGTATGTTTTTCCCCTGTCATTGGGTGATACGGAGAGCACCTTATCTTTAGTTCCTTTTGCACAGAGCTTCAGCTTGTTTTCAATTTTGTGGGTTTTTTTTCTCAGTTGTAAATAATGCTACAGTGAACATAGTGAAAACATTTGAGAGACTATAAGTTCCTAAAATTACATTTGTGCCCTAACTTGTTTTGCTCAGTGGATAGAGTGTTGGCCTGTGGAGTGAAGGGTTTCAGGTTCGATTCTGGACAAGGGCATGTACCTTGGCTGCAGGCACATCCCCAGTAGGGAGTGTGCAAGATGCAGCTGATCAATGATTCTCTCTCATTGATATTTCTAACTCTGTTCCTCTCCCTTCCTCTCTGTAAAAATCAATAAAATATATTTTAAAAAACAATTACATTTGTTGTGACATGGGAAACCTATGATTTAAAGTCTGGTAATTTTTTAAATCATTTTTTTTTTTATCCTTTCAAACTTTGTATAATGTATAAGCTGTTTATCCAACAGAGGGAGCTAGATTATCACATAGATATACTAACTGCAGGAACTTTTTTCCTTTCTCAAATAAAAAAAAGCCAAGGTATTTTAAAAATCCTGACTCATAACTTTGGTTTTGCATCTAAAAATGAGGTGTGCTATGTTTTTTTTTTTTTTTTTTTGAATATATTTTTTATTGATTTCAGAGAGAGAATCATTGATTGGCTGCCTTCTGCACGCCCCCTACTGGGGATTGAACCCACAACCCAGGCAGATGCCCTTGACTACAATTGAACTTCGGACCCTTCAGTCTGCAGGCCAACACTATCCACTGAGCCAAATCGGCTAGGGCTTGTGTTATGTTTTTAAAAGACATGCTGATGATATTCTTCGAAGGTAACACAGATCTGTAGAATGACCAATTACTGCTGCTTTGCCAGTGGCCAGGATAGATTCTTTCTATCCTAACTGATTCTACCGGATTAAGGCTGTGATAAACATAATATTAATAGCGTAATTTGGTTATACTCTTACTGTGTTCCCTTCACGGGCACTAAAACCCAGTATCTTTTCCCAGCAAGAAGTAATAAAATGTTTCTTTTTGCCTCTCTGTAGGGTTCAGCACCACCCCCTTCTCCAACACCCAACAAAGAGATGAAGAATAAAGCAGTTCTTTGCAAACCTTTAACGATGACAAAAGCTACTTACTGTAAACCTCACATGCAGACCAAATCTTGTCAGACAGGTAGCTTTGGGGGGTCAGGGGGATTTGACTTACAAACTTACCTGTATTTATACCTCTCTTAATGAAATTCCAGGTTTTCTCAAATAGTAGGCTATGAATAAATTTACTTTATCATTTTCTGTTGATTTTGCCTGTTTAATTTTAGATATTACCTTGAGAATATAACATTATTTAAAATCATTTATGAAAATTAATCTCTGATAAAGGCCTAGGATACAAATTAATGTTAACAGTGAAATAATGTCATGGGAAAATTTTTTGGCTAAGACTTACTAAAGTTATAGTACTCTCTCTGACCATCATCTCTAAGTGTGATCTGTAATAACAGCAATGCTGTTTTCTTCTCAGAATGAGATGAAATAATTCAAATATATATTTTCATAAAATTTAAATGTTAGGTATATAATGATTTTTAGATTAAATAAATCTTTTTGTGGGGGAGGTGAGAGGAATTTGTAAGGTGTCAGGAACTTTATATTGTTTTTTTTAAAGGTTGTTTTCTTTATATTAAAATAAAGTTCTTAATTCTATTTGTACTCCCTATAAGAGAACAGCTACTTCATTCATTTTTTTTTCCAGCTAATTTTGTGAAAAATGGGAATTTATTTTAAATGGGGACTGAGACACTTGTTTTTCTTTGTTACTGCATTATTTTAACACTGAACACTGTATCAGTGCTAGTTAACGAGCTTCCTCATTGCATATTGCATTTGCAGATGACAATTGGAAGACAGAGTATGTCCCAGTGCCTATCCCTGTGCCTGTATATATTCCAGTGCCTATGCACATGTACAGCCAGAATATTCCTGTCCCCACTACAGTTCCCGTTCCTGTAAGTTGGATTTCAACTTATTTTCCATTGTGAGATTTATGAGGCATGGATGGGAGAACAGTGTTGTTGCAGTTACTGTTTCGGTGAAGCTAACAAATGGGATTGAACCGGCCTTTCTTCTAAGTTAGGTATAGGTGTGTGCTTGAATCTGTGTTGGTTATGCTGCTGTGTAGAATCTTGGAGAGTGAAGTTCAGCAGATGCCTATGCTTGCTTTATTTCCATTGTATTTTATATTGGTTCATATTAAATAAAAATATTTGTGATGCTGCTTTAGGCTTAGAACTGAAACATGGGTTAGAGTTGTATATCAAATATCATTATACTTTGTTATAAATCATTTGCAGTACTTAGTACTCTTAAGTCAGGGCTTGTCTATTATAGCCTCCTGGGGAACAGATTGGTTTCATTAAAATTAAGATGTAGAAATAAATTATCTGTAATGTTATTCCAGCTCTAAAATTGCTGGTAGTTTTCCAGCTCTTAAATTGCTAGTAGTTTTTAAATATAATGTATCAGTTAATAATACATTATTAATCAGTACTGCAAACATGAACACTGGTGGAGATTTTTCTAGGTGATTACTCTGTGCTTATATGTCATACTAGAGGCCTGGTGCACCACATTTGGGCAAGGATATGGTCCCTAGGCCTGGCCAGCGATTGAAGTGCGAGCATCTGGCATGGAAGGGCAGTTTACAGCTGACCTCTGGGCCCTAGGCAGCACCTGGGCCCCCAGGCCCCTGCCTGCCCCCTTCCGCCTGAGTCCCCATGTGGAGATGCAGTGAGTGTGGCCGAATGCTGTTGGCCCGGGTGCAACATGGGCCTCTGGGCCGCCCAACAATGCTGCCCGGAGGCCAGCCGGGCAGCTCTCTCTCTCCCAGCCGGCCTCTCAGACTGGCTCCTGTGAGAACCCATGGGGAGCCTGTCCAGCCCCTGCAGTCCTGGTGGCTATGACCCAGCTTACCTGGAAGCCCATTGGGACCGGCAGTGCCTCCACTGCCACCCGTTGCCAGCTTTTTGTTGCTGATGCCCTCCATGTTCTGCACTGCCCTCTGGTGGTCAGCGCACATCAAAGCACATGGGTGAACTGGTTGAGGGGACAATTTGCATATAAGGCTTTTATTGTATTGAATATTTTACATATCATAAAATAGCCTATATAATAAGGAGGTAATATGCAAATTGATTGTCATACCCTTGCACAAGATGCCCACCCCTATGTGATCACAAAATGTCCTCTCAAAATGGCTGGCAGAGGAGGGCAGTTGGGGTGACCAGGCCTGCAGGGAAGGCAGTTAGGGGTGACCAGGCTAGCAGAAGAGGGCAGTTGCAGGGGGGACTGGGCCTGCAGGGCAGGCTGTTGCGGGGGACCAGACCTGCAGAGGAGGGCAGTTGAGGGCATTCTGGCCGGCAGGGGAGAAGTTAGGCATTGATCAGGTTAGCAGAGGAGTGGTTAGGAGGTGATCAGGCTGGTAGGCAGACGCAGTTAGGGGCAATCAGGCAGGTGCAATCAGATGAGTGGTTGGGAGCCAAGCAGTTCCAGATTGTGAGAAGGATCCCAGATTGAAGAGGGTGCAGGCTGGGCTGAGGGAACCCCACCCCTACGCCCTAGTGCATGAATCTCGTGCCCTGGGCCTCTAGTAAACACATTTATATGGTGGGAGAAGTAGGGTACCTCCATTTCTCTGTCAGCATATCTGCATTACTCAATGCCGGGTGCTTATTAAATTTTAGATATTTTTCTTATAATCATTGTTATTCCCCAAGCAGAGTACTGGTTCTAGCTTCTATATTCCTATAGTACTTTTATATATATTAATGTTGTAATATTAGTCATACTTCATCACTGTTGCTGGTTCATATTTGCCTTTTTAACAGTACTCTGAATTCTTTGAGTACAAAAATTACTGCCTATTCATCTATATATTATATCTTCAAATTTTAATGCAGAACTTGGCAGATAAGCAGGCCATAGATTCTTGCCAACTCTGATTGATAATCCTTGCATGAAATGATATGTTGATGATAACTCAAAAGTTATTTTTCTTTTTTCAAAAGACAGTTGCTTGTGTTCTGGGCTTTCTTTGTCACAGGTGACATCTTAGTCAATAATACTTGATAATACTTTTGTTGTTCTTGTTTTAATCATCACCTGAGGATATTTTTCCATTGATTAGAGTGGAAAGGAAGTGGGGAGAGAGAAGTATCAATGTGAGAGAGAGACACATCGATTGGTTGCCTCCTGCAGACACCCCAACTTGGGCCAGGGATCAAGTCTGCAACTGAGGTACATGCCCTTGACTGGAATTGAACCTGGGACCCTTCAGCCTTCGTGCCAATGCTCTATCTACTGAGTCAAACCTGCTTGGGCAACATCTTACTTTTAATAGGTGTTCTTTGCAAGGTTTTTATCCAATAGTAGAGGCCCTATGCACAAAATTTGTGCAAGAGTAGGGCTTCCTTCCTCTGGCTGCAGGCACTTGCTTCCCTCTGGCACCCGGGACCCGGGCTTCCCTTGTAGCCTCAGCTTTGTCCGGATGGTCACCCGGAAGGATACCTGGTCTAATTAGCATATTATGCTTTTATTATTATTATAGACTAATTCCCCTGCCAGCCTGTTTGCCCCCAACATCCTTCCTCTGCTGGCATGGTCACCCCTAACTGCCTTCCCCTGCAAGGTTGATCACTTCCAACTGCTTTCCCTTGCAGATCTGGTGCCTCCCAACTGCCTTCCCCTGCTGGCTATCTTGTGGTAGTCATGTTGTGTCCACATAGGGGCAGGATCTTTGACTACATTGGGGCAGTCATCTTGTGTGTCGGAGTGATGGTCGATCTGCATATTACTCTTTTATTAGATAGGATAAAGGCCTGGTGCATGGGTAGGGGCTGGCTGGTTTGCCCTGAAGAGTGTCCTGGATCAGGGTGGGGGTTCCCTTAGGGTGTGGGGCGGCCTGGGTGAGGGGCCTGTGGTGGTTTTCAGGCCGGTCACGCCGCGCCCCCCCCCCCCCCCCCCCCAAGCAGAGGCCTTGGATTCTGGGATTTATTTATCTTCTATAATTAAATCTTTGTAGCCTGGAGCGGAGCCAAGCCTTCTGCTTGCTCTGTGGTGGCAGGGAATTTATTTACCTTCTGTAATTGAAACTTTGTAGCCTTAAGGTGGATGGGCTGGCCAGGGTGTGTGGAAAGCTTGGCTTCTCTATCACCTGGGAAACCCAAGCCCCCCTCCTGCTTTCTCTGTGGTCACAGCCATCTTGGCTGGGTTAATTTGCATACTCACCCTGATTGGCCAGTAGGCATGACTTGTGGGTGTGGCTTATGGGTTTAGGAGAGTGATGGTTAATTTGCATATTACTCTTTTATTATATAGGATAGAATGATAAACTAGACCATGTGTCAGGATAATTTTTACTTTAGAAAAATACCTTTAAAAAATTTTTAAAAATTGATTAGAGAGAGAGAGAGAGAGACAGACAGACAGACAGACAGACAAAGACAGACAAACATTGAAGTGAAAGAGAAACATCGATTAGCTCCCTCCTGCACACACCCTACTGGGAATTGATATTGCAACCCACACATGTGCTCTGACCGGGAATTGAACTGGTAACCTTCTGGTGCATGGATGGTGCATAACCAACTGAGCCACACCAGTCAGGGTTAGAAAAATACCTTTTAATGTTGAGCAAAACTAACAGTAAATACTTTGGTGAATTAGGTGCCAGTCCCTGTTTTTCTGCCTGCCCGGGTGGACAGCAGTGAGAAGAACCCTGCAGTAGCTGAGGAGCTAAAAAGCAAAGTTTCTTCAGATCCTCTTGATACCGAATTGCTCACAATGACGGATGTGATGACTGAAGAGGAGGGGAAAACAAACGCTGCTAACATCAATAGTGAGCTGCACTGTATTACACCTTGTGGATGAGTGTGTTGTTGGATTTTACTGAGTGCTGTAATTGTTATAGTATGTTCCAGGGCATTTTAATCCTTGGTGTAGGAGTTGGGGAAGATTGTAACAAAAATGTATTTTATGTTAAGAGAGCAAAGTTGTATCTTGCAAGGTGTTTTATTATGGAAAGTGAAATTTCAAGAAGAAATTTGTAGGGTCTTTTTAAAAAATATATATATATTTTATTGATTTTTTACAGAGAGGAAGGGAGAGGGATAGAGAGTTAGAAACATCAATGAGAGAGAATCATCGATCAGCTGCCTCATGCACACCCCCTACTGGGGATGCGCCCGCAACCAAGGTACATGCCCTTGACCGGAATCGAACCCGGGACTTTTCAGTCTGCAGGCTGACGCTCTATCCATTGAGCCAAACCGGTTTTGGCTATAGGGTCCTTTTTTAAATGGTAAAAGGATTTGAAATGCACGATCAACTAAAATTTGTTCTTGTTTTCATAGACTAGCTCAGATATAAAACTAATTTGTAGTAAATTTAATAATCCAGATTCTTATTTTATAATAGTTATCTCAAATTTTTTTTATCAATAATTCTAATGTCATTTGCATGATCGAAACCAGGGGATGTTGTAACTTCTGTTAGGGCAGTGATTCTAAACGTACAGCATGATGAGTGTGTTGTAGATGTTTTTGCCTCTTAGAATATTTCTTCCTGAAGAAATATTTAGTCCTCTGGTGACAACAGAGCCCTGTTTCAATCGTGAGTTAAATCCCTTTAGAGTACAATAGAAATACTATAAATTCTATGTATTTTACAATGTGACAATATTTTTGAAGCACTTTGTTAGGGAGTTAACAATGAATTTTGTGGATTGAAATCAGTTTTTTGATTTTTTAAATTTAAAAATTGTTTTAAAATATATATTTTTATTAAATTCAGAGAAGAAAGGAGAGAGGGAGAGATAGAAACATCAATGATGAGAATCATTGATCAGTTGCCTCATGCACGCCCCCTACTGGAGATTGAGCTTAAAACCTGGTCATTTGCCCTTGATCAGAATGGAATCCAGACCCTTTGGTCTGCAGGCTGATGCTCTATCCACTGAGCCAATCCAGCTTGGGTCCAAGTTTTTATTTTTTTAATGAACACCCAAAATGTCAGCATAAATTCCCTTATAGAAAGGGTAGTATTTTGTGAAACCTTTGTTTCCTGTGTGGGTGCGCATGAATGCTTGTCTGTCTTTCTGTCTTCTACTACCATCCTGAACCTAGATAAAATGCATTTCTTATTAAGGACTGCAATACAAAAAATGCTTGAAACAACTGATCAAAATATTAGAAGACAGTTGTATATAAGTATATATTGAATGACATGAAAAACCTAGGCCATAATTCAGGAAAAATGTTGAAAAATTGCAGTTATCCATCCTCATTATTTTACTTTAGACAAAAAAATTGATTTTACAAATACTCTCAATATCAGAGATGTTTTACTAGCAAAGCATGCCTATTAACTTTTGAAGAGGGCCAAAAACTTACAGGAGTAAAAGTTTTTGTGTTCTCAAGGTTATCTAGTAGTTATAAAGTTTAATAGTTAATTGCAAGATAGCTATATATATACCTTTTCCTTTTGTGACATTAATATAAGTATTCTTGTTTTGCATTTACAATTAACTGACTTTCTTTTGCCAGGTATAGGTGTCGTTGAGGTCTTTTTTTATTTCTAATGACAGTTTGGATTGATTACAGGTGTAATTATTGAGACTGACATAATTGGTTCAGATCTCTTGAAGGATTCTGACCTAGAGACACAGTCCAGCATGCCTGATGTACCATATGAGCCAGACTTGGATATCGAAGTAGATTTTCCCAGAGGTATTCATAGTACTATTTTATTCTTTTAATGTGAACTATGTGAACTATGGTTATGGAATTTAGTTACAGAGTCATAATTGTGGTTATGATCATTAGGCATTTAGTGTTCATGTCATTGCCTTTACTGTTCATAGTTGTCTTTTTTACCCAGATAAAATTCAACAGTTAACTTTTTTTAAAAAAATTAATATATTTTTATTGATTTTAGAGAGAAAGGGAGAGGGAAAGAGAGACAGAAACATCAATGATGAGAGAGAACCATGGATAGGCTGCTTCCTGCATGCCCCCTACTGAGGTTGAGCCACAACCCAGGCATGTGCCCCTGACCAGAATTGAACATGGGACCCTTCAGTCTGCAGGCCTACGCTCTATCCACTAAGCTACACCAGCTAGGGCAACAGCTAACTTCTAAAATGACTCAGGATTGCTTTGTAGGGATTTTTAGAGCCTTACAAAGAAACTTTCTCAAACTTTCATTATATAACATTTTGAAGATAAAGGATAAAGAAGTGTTTGTGTATTTTTTAATAATTTAAATAAAATATCAATAGTAACTCTCTTAAGATCCTTTTGAAAATTAAGTTGACCTTCAAAGGGAAAAAGTATTTTCAGGTCTTTTGTTATAAAAGAGATGTGTTCTATTTTCACTATTTTCTTAATCTATTGATGACAAATAAGCACATTGAATTGAATGTAAAGTATTTTATTTTAGGAAAGATTTAATAGATTCAAATAGATTTGTAATGAGATCATTTAGATCTTACAATTGAACTTCAGGTTATAATAATTTTTTTGATACCAATTTACATGAAAATTTCATGTTGATATTCATTGTACATATTTGTTAAGAGTCTGAACAGGTTTTATCAGAATTCATAGGCCATGTTAGATACAGAAGATCATTTATTCTTCACCCCAACACAGGTTGTTCCCATATACAGATGCCTGTTTACATCCTTTGGTTCTTTCTTTGTTGGCTGTATTATATAATATAAACCTCTGCTATTACATTTGGAATAAAAGTTGTGATTTGTTTGTCAGCTGCTGAAGAACTTGATATGGAAAATGAATTTTTATTACCACCTGTTTTTGGAGAAGAATATGAGGAACAACCTAAACCTCGATCTAAAAAAAAGGTATAAAATTAATAGTATTTTTGCATTTGGTTAATATCTCTATATAGTAATATCTCTAAACAGCTATAGAGTAAGGATATAATAGTGCTCACTTGTGCCTAGGAATATGGGAAGGTTTTTTTGTTTTCTAGATTTAAGAGGTAAAGTCTTTATTACTTCATTTTTAGATAATAAAAATGTCTCAGATATAATTGTAACTTAATAGAAGAAGAGTAATTATTATTGCCACTTTGTTTTTGTTTTCAGTTTTAGCTTTATAAATGGTTGGTATAGATAAAAAGTTGACATAGTTGCAAGTAAATTCAATCTTTGACAAGAATTGAGACTATTTTCTAGGGAGTTGTTTTTTCCATTATCATCATCCATATTATTTTTTAAATATATTTTTATTAATTTCAGAGAGGAAGGAATAGGGAGAGATAGAAACAGCCTATATAATAAAGAGGTAATATGAAAATTGACTATCACTTCAACACACAAGATGGCCAGCAGGGGAGAATAGTTGGGGGGGGGACCAGGCCTGCAGGGTTGGGCAGTTGAGCGGGGGGGACCAGGCTTGCAGAGGAGGGCAGTTAGAGGCATTTAGTCCAGCAGGAGAGGGCAGTTAGGGGTGACCAGGTTGGCAAGGGAAGGAAGTTAGGGGTGACTGGGCCAGTAGGGGAGGGCAGTTAGGGGTGACCAGACTGATAGGGGAGGGCAGTTAGAAGTGACCAGACTGACAGGGGAGGGCAGTTAGGGGCGACCAGGCTGACAGGGGAGGGCAGTTAGAGGTGACCAGGCCGCAAGTGAGTGCAGTTAAGGGCAATCAGGTAAGCAGGCAGGTGAGCAGTTGGGTGCCAGCAGTCCTGGATTGAGAGAGGAATGTTCCAGATTGGAGAGGGTACAGGCTGGGCTGAGGGACACACACACACACACACACACACACACACACACCCATGCATGCATTTCATGCACCAGGCCTCTTCTAATTAATGATAAGAGAGAATCATTGATTGACTACGACCTGCACACCCCTTACTGGGGATGGAGCATGTGCCCCAAACTGAGAATCAAATTGTGACCTTCCTGGTTCATAGGTTGATGCTCAACCACTGAGCAACACAAGCTGCGCTCCAGCATTATTTTTGATGAGACTAATCAGTGATGTTGGAATATACAGTTCATTATATCCTATTTCATTTAAGCATATCAACACATAGGAAGACATTTCAGACACTAATAGATTCAGGTAGACAAAATTAACAGGTGTAATTGTTTTAAATATTTTAACATCAACTTTATTTCTGATTTCCAACATAAATTAAGGTCCAAAGGGGAAAAGAAAAATTTTACAGATTTCCCCCAAAAGAAAGAAAATGAAAAAGGAGTACCCTGCAGTAGAATGTAGTTGGACTTTTACTTCATACCACAAAATGAGTCACTGATCTAAATGTAAGAACTAAAAATCTCTTAGAAAAAAACCAAAAAACTCTTAGAAGAAAACATAGGCTGTAATCTTCATTATCTTGGGTTTCTGAGATATAACAGAAAAAGCTTAAGGAACAAAAGGAAAAATGATTAATTGGATTATGTCAAAATTTAAAACTTGTATAGCAAATAGTGCCATCAAGAAAGTAAAGAGTTGAGTAGTCATTTCCTTTATGGTGGAATTATTATAAAGTTCTTCCATTTATCTCTTAATATTTATTATCCTTTTATTTCAGATTATTAGTTCATGTCATATATTTATTTTCTCACCAGAGACTCACAACATAAGTTAATAAAATTTTATTGTACACAATGGTTTATGTAGAAATATGGCATTTCTGCAAATATATTTCAACACATGTTATAGGTGACTATTCTTACTTTCAGGAATACCGGTCAATTCTAAGAATATAAGTATATGCTCTTTAATTTGCATTTTTTGATTGATGGCTTATATAAAGTCATGAAATAATGTAGACTTAAAAAAAAAAAAAAGGAGATTTACAGTGGTATTTTACTAATAGGGAGCCAAGAGAAAAGCTGTATCAGGATACCAGTCTCATGATGATAGTTCTGACAATTCAGAATGCAGCTTTCCTTTCAAGTATACATATGGTGTAAATGCATGGAAACACTGGGTCAAAACGAGGCAATTTGATGAAGATCTTCTGGTATTAGATGAGCTAAAATCTCGTAAGTGTTCTGATTTTGTTTTCCTTATGTCCTATTTAACAGCAAGATATTGTTATTAACTTCCTTTAACTTTTAAAAAATAAATGTAGATTTTATTTTACTTTTAAGTTCTTACATACAATAAATTTCAGGGGCTTTCTTAATCTTAAGACAGTAGTAATACCAATTACTAATTTTTTATTTCTTTTTAGCTAAATTAGTAAAGTTAAAAGAGGATCTGCTGTCTCACACCACGGCTGAGCTTAACTATGGGCTAGCCCATTTTGTCAATGAGATCCGCCGACCAAATGGAGAGAGTTATGCACCTGACAGCATTTATTATCTTTGCCTTGGAATACAGGAGGTTAGTAATTTGCAGGCAAATTTTGAATATAATGTTAATAAAAGTTGTTGTGGTATTTCTTGAACAGAAAAATGTTATGCTTCAAGAATATTAAACAAAACTTCATGGAGACAAAAAAAGATTTAATCTATGACAAAAACTAGGATATTTTAAAGGATTTTCTGAGCTTTGTAATTAGGTGCTATAATGTGATATTTTCTTAAAAATTACCACATTCTTCAGAACTCAGTACAAAAACCAGTAAGAACAGGCCACTCAAAATGTCTGTATCTTTTGTAACATATCTGACAAAGTTGTATGTTTGTTACCATATATAAGATAAGGGCAGATATACATGCAGATATACATAGATCCATGCTGCTGAAATGCATGTGAATGAAAATGTCTGGTTTCTTCATATAGTTGGTCTGTTTCTGTGTGGACTGGTCACGTTTTTCTATCATGTTAGAAACATTAGTTCTTTGGAATCATCTTACAAAATGGATCATTCTTTAGGGATTTTGAATAAATTTCAGCTGCATGTCTGTGAATCTGGAGTTTTCCATTGATGGCAATAACTTCTGTTTCTGAAAAAAATTGTATAGGTTTGAACCTAGAGGTCAAAAAGGATTTTCACTTCACATTCTGTGTGTATGTAAATGTGGTAAATAATGGAAGTAGATCTTCTTATGCAGGGTGGTGTTTAAAGACCTAAAATTTAATGTTAAGCTGCTAACAGCATATTGAAATAAGTTACTGAAAAAAAACTGGAATTGTCTTAATTTGTATTTTATTTATATTCTCTTCAGGGTAGATAATTTCCAAAGATAATGAAAGCAGTGTGGGGAATTAACACATAGCTATCTATACATTACTGTGTGTTCAAAGGCCATCACATATTTTGTAGTAACAGTCTAAAAGAAATAGAGAAATTTTGTTTCTTCTTATTCCAACTTGATAGATTTACATATACTTTGAGCTTCATATTTATATGGCGATACTAGGTTCACCATTCTAAAATCCCAAAACTTGAGAACTAAGATTTCTCTGGAAACTCTTTTGATAGTAAAACCTGACTTGAAGAGTTGTGATTCTGTTTTCTTTATTATACTTTCAAAAAATATTCTATCTTAACCCAGCCAGTGTGGCTCAGTAGTTAAGCATGGGATTATGAGCCAGGAGGTCACAGATTGATTCCTGGTCAGGGCACCTGCTTGGGTTGCTGGCTCAATCTTGCATTGTGGGGGGGTGCAGGAGGCAGCTGATTGATGATTCTGTGTCATAATTGATGTTTCTGTTTCTCTCTTCCTCTCTGAAATCAATGAAAAAATATAATTTTATAAATTCCGTCTTAGTATATTAATTGTAGACTTGTAGAATTGTTAATGCTTCTAAACAAGTGTAGTGTACTTCCCTATGGAATGTTGTGTAATGGTCTGTTTCCTCTGTAGAAGTCCAAAACATTTGAATTCTGAAACATATCTGGCTTCAGTGGCTGTGGCACAAGGCTTAGAACTGTGTATATGTTTCCCCTTCTACTTCATTATGTTTTGTAGTAAAAAAGAGTAGGCATAGCATTTGTAAATATGCTAACTGGTGTAGTTGAAAACATCTCAATCTTCTGGTGTCAGAACAAGTTATCCTATAATAGGGGTGTCGAACTCAATCAGAGAAGGGGCCAAAATCTAAAATCCAGCCTAAATCGCGGGCCGAATGGTTTACTGAACAGTCATAAACTGTCATTGTGATGGAAACGCAGCGGAGTGCAGTGATGACAGCGCGGTGCGGGCCACATTGCAAGGCCTGGCGGGATGGATTTGGCCCGCGGGCCTTGTGTTTGACACATGTGCTATATAATAAAGAGGTCTTATGCAAATTGACCCTCACACCCTTGTGTCACAAGATGGTCACCCCCACATTGTCACAAGGTGGTCAGCAGGGAAGGGCAGTTAGGTGTGATAGGATTAGCAGAGGAGGGAAGTTGGGGGCAATCAGGCTGGCAGGGGAGGGAAGTTGGGGGCAATTGGGCCTGCAAGGAAGGGTAGTTGGGGATGATTGGGCCTGCATGGGAGAGCAATTGGGGGCTGGGGTGGGGGGGACCAGGCCTGCAGGGGAGGGCAGTAGGGGGTGATTAGGCCAGAGGGGAGGGCAGTTGGGGATGATCGGGCCAGCAGGGGAGCTGTTAGGTGTCAATCATGCTGCCAGGGTTGCAATTAGGCATTAGGCCAGCAGGCAGCAATCAGGCAGGCAGGCAGGTGAGTGGTTAGGAGGATTGGGCCAAAACTGGCAGTCGGGCATCCCCAAAGGGATCCCAGACTGGATAGGGTGTAGGTTGGGCTGAGGGACACCCATGCGCCCCCCCCCCCCCACCCCCCCGCATGAATTTTATGCACCGGGCCTCGAGGTTATTACATATAATTCTCCCTTGGAGCAAACAGGAGATGGTGTTACTTCTTTGTGTTTGTACCATGCTGTCCCCATAGTTCCCACTTACTGATCTGGGTGATTGCTATGGCTATTATTATACAATAGTCCTATATATCAACTGTGTGCATACTTACTTAAGGTAATTTTTAAAAAAGAGAACATATATGTCATCATTTTAGCAGTAGTTCCATTTTTTTATTTTTACTATAATAATTAAAAACATTTTTTTTAAAATCCTCATCTGAGGATATTTTTCCATTGATTTCTAGAGACTGGAAGAGAGATTAAATTGCCTCCTGTATGCACTCTGACCAGGGCCAGGGCTGGGGAGAAGCCTGCAACTGAGGATGTGCCCTTGACTGGAATCGAACCTGGGACCCTTTGGTCTGCAGGCTGATGCTCTATCCACTGAGCCAAACCGTCCAGAGCAATTTTTAAAATTTTTAAATTGTAGTTGATGTACATTTTATTAGTTTCAGGTGTATAACATAGTGATTATATATTTATATAACTTATAAAGTGGTTACTCTGATAAATCTGATAGCATACATAGTTATTCCAATATTCTTGACTATATTCCCTATGCTATACTTTATATCCCATGACTATTCTGGAACTACCATTGTACTTTTAATCCTTTTATCTTTTTCACCTATATCCTGACCCCCTCCTATTTTGTAACTGTCAAAATGTACTTTGTATCTATGAGTAAAAAAAAAGTCTGTTTCTGTTCTGCCTGTTTATTTTGTTTTATAGATTCCACATATTAGTGAAATCATCTGACATTTGTCATTCCTTTCCTGACTTATTTCACTTAGCATAATACCATGTAGTTTCATCTATGTTTTTGCACATGGAAATATTTTAAGTTTTTTTCTTTTTATGGCTTGGTCATATTTTATTATATTGGCTATTGTAAATTATGCTGCAATGAATATATGGGGCATATGTCTTTTCAGTTTAGTGTTTGGGTTTCTTCAGATAAATACCCAGAAGCAAAATTGCTAGATTGTTCTTTTTATAGCCTTTTATTTTAAAGTCTGTTTTGTCTGGTGTAAGTAAACAGTTATTTTTGTTTGTTTGTTTTCATTTGAACAAAATATCTTTTTTCATCCCTTTATTTCAGTCTGTGTGTGTTTCTTTTGATTTGAAGTGAGTCTCTTGTAGATAGCATATGTAAGGGTCTTGTTCTATTGTCCATTCAGCCACCCTGTGTTTTTGTATTAGAGCATTTAATCCATTTGCATTTAAATTAACTTTTGATAGATAACTTATTTAATGCCATTTCATTCAGATTTTTTTCTCTCTCTATTTTTTTTCTTTTCTGTTTTTAAAGAAGACCAGATCCTTTCACATTTCTAGAAATAGTGATTTAGTGATGATAAACTCCTTTAGCTTTTTTTTTTTTTTTTTTTTTTTTTTTTGTCTTGGAAGCTGTTTATCTGACCTTTGATTTTAAATTTTATCTTTGCTGTATAATCTTAGTTGAAGGTCCTTACACTTTGAATATTTTGTGCCAGTCTCTTCAGCCTGTCAAGTTTTTGTTGAGAAATCATCTGACAATCTTAGGGGGAATTTCCTCTATTGTAGGTAACTACCTGCTTTTCTTTTTCTGCTTTTATAAGTCTGTATTTGTTTTTAATCTTTGGCCTTTTAATTAACAATGTGTCTTTTTGTGGACCTCTTTGAGTTAATATTATTTGGGACTCTCTGAACTTTCTGGACTTACATTTTCCTCCACCAGGTTAAGGAAATTTTCCATCATTATTTTTTCAATATGGTATGAATATTGGTGCACTTGAAGTTGTCTCAGGCTCATTATACTATCCTTTTTTTTTTTTTTTTTTTTTTTTTTTTTAAGAGAGCGAGAGAGAGAGGAAGGGAGAGAGAGAGAGAGAAACATCAGCAGTGAGAAAGAATCATTGGTCAGCTGCCTCCTGATGCCCCCTACTGGGAACTGAGCCTGCAACCCAGGCATGTACCCTTGATCAGAAATGAACCTGAGGCCCTTTAGTCCTCAGGCTGATGCTAAGTCAAACCAGCTAGGGCTATCCTCATTTTTTTTGGATTTTTTTCTTTTTGCTCTATATATTGGGTGTTTTCTATTTCCTTTTATTCCAAAGTAGGGGCCTGGTGCATGAAGTTTTGTGCACAGGGGAGGGGGTTCCCTCAGCCTGACCTGCACCCTCTCCAATCTGGGAGCTCTCAGGGGAGCCCTCTCCAATCAGTGAGTTTCTGTCTGTCTTTGCAGTCATGTGAGCGAATTGTCTGAGATTCCAACCCAGTTTGGTTTGCTGCTCACAAAATAATAGAGGCTTTTTTCTTCTTCTTTGCTTCATTGGTGGAGATTTCCTGGAAGTTTTAGGATATATTCCCTTTAATTTTTCCTTGACACTCTGATTTTACTTGTGTCTCTCACCTTTGCTTTCCCTCCATCCCCCACCGCAACAGTAATTTGCTCCAGGCTCACTTTGCTGTAGTGTCTTGGAGATCCGTCTGCCACCAGAACTATGATTCCCAGCATTCTTGGTGCTCCCCGCGCTCTGGGATTCTGCTTCCTGGCCTGGGGCTGCCACCAGAACTACTGTTCCCAG